GATAAACACAAACACCTGTCTCTTTCATTCTTCATCATGGGCCACTGAGACTTGCTATGACAAACTGTACTGGGTTATGCAATGTCAAGTGTGTCCTCAATATCACTCACAATCCTTCCCACTCCTTCCTTGTTGAGGTCCTGTTCCCAACCTGACCACACCTGGGTATTGCATGCAGTCTGGAACCACACATCCAGATAGTTCGAGACAGGCTGAAGCACGCTCAGAGGCTTAGCTACTCACACCCTGCCTTCTGAAGAATTCTTCAAAGAGCGTTTGATATTTTTTTTTTAAGATTTTTTTTAATGTGGACCACTTTTTAAAAGTCTTTATTGACTTTGTTACACTATTGCTTCTGTCTTATGTTTTGGTTTTATGGCCACGAGGCATGTGGGATCTTAGCTCCCTGACCAGGGATTGAACCCACATCCCCTGCATTGGTAGGCAAAGTCTTAACCACTGGACAGCCAGGGAAGTCCCTTGAACGTTTGATATTTAAACTGATGAACATGAGAGCTGATTTCAAAAGTCCGATTGTCCTTCTGGAGGTTCCTAGGGTAGAACTTGGAGTCCCCGGCATGAGTGGCAGACAGCAGGATTCAAGGGTCAGTCTAAGGGAGAACCATACCAGAGCTCTCCAAAAGTAGAATGGGTGTGTCAGGAGAGAGTTCCCTTTCACTGAACCTGATTATATCAAAGTTCAATCTTCAGGGCTTCCCTGGTGGCGCAGTGGTTGGGAGTCCGCCTGCCGGTGCAGGGGACGCGGGTTCGTGCCCCGGTCCGGGAAGATCCCACATGCCGCGGAGCGGCTGGGCCCGTGAGCCATGGCCGCTGAGCCTGCGCGTCCGGAGCCTGTGCTCCGCAGCGGGAGAGGCCGCAGCAGTGAGAGGTCCGCGTACCACACACACACACAAAAAGTTCAATCTTCAGTGGGTGGCTGAACTAGAGTTGGGGGATCCCTTGTAAGCAAGAGAGCCTATTTTGTGTTGTAGCTTTAAAATTTATTGAGACATTCACTCACTATTTTATGTATAGGGGGTACATTCATTATGATTGAAACTGGGTTGCTGCTTGAGGGTAAAAGAATGCAAATCAGAAAAGATCATTATCGTATGGTGTTACAAAGGGTGCGTAAGTAAGTTGGCACAGGAGGAATGAGCACTGCTGGGGAAGGGAGAGAAGATTTTAGTGAAAGAAGTGGGTTTTAAGCTCAAACTTACAGAATTCGGCCAGCGTGTTCATATAGGAGAAGCAGCATATGCAAAAGTACAGAAGAATAAATGTACCTGGTGTATAGACCCCAATGGGTGCAAATGGGAAGAAGCTCTTAAAAATACATTTATTGGGGACTTCCCTGGTGGTCCAGTGGTTAAGACTCCATGCTTCCACTGCAGGGGACATATGTCCCATCCCTGGTCGGGGAACTAAGATCCCACATGCCGTGTGGAGTGGCCAAAAAAAAAAAAAAAGGAGTTTAAGACCAGATTTTGAATGACCCTCATGTCTTATGGTCGTCATGGGACAACAAAGCAGAGAATGAAATGATGAAGTTGGTGTTGTAGGCAGCTGTGCTGTGTTGTCTGAGATAGTACGGGCTTTGGTGGGATCGAGGCTGGGAGAATTCTGAATTCGGGTAGTGGAGCTGGGAATAGGAAGGAGAAGATGGAGCACATAATTATCTCAGGGGCAGAACTGACAAAACTGAGATGGGGGATTGTGAGGAAGCAGGATCCGTTGAATATGACTCAGAAATTTCTGTCTGGAGCAACTGAATGGGGGAAGAATACCCTGCAGATGATCAAGAGTTTGATTTTGATCCTATCAACTTAGGGGTACACATGGGACATGCAGCTGGGATGGTCTGATGATGGTCAGAAATATGGAAAGAGAGAGAGGCAGGTAATAAAGCCAGGAGCCAGCACGGAGCAGACCCTCTCTACCCCGGATGCCTCCCTTCCTTTTCCCCTGGAAACAGAAACACCTTTTCTTCTGAGAACAGCCCCTCCCTGGCTACCCTGGAGTCCCAACTGTAAGAGTTGCCAAGTTCACCACATCCCCTGGTTACTATGGCTTCATTCAGAGGTAGGATCAAGACAGGCTAACATGTTGCTAATTCCTTCTCAAGGATTTTCTTTTTTTTAATTTAAAGAAAATTTTCAACATATATAAAAGTAGACAGAAGAGCGTAATGAACCCCCATGTACCTGATAACCGGCTTCATCAATGATCAATTCATGGCCAACCTTGTTTCAGCTCTATCTTGCTTCCTTTCCTTCCACGTGATTTTGAAGCAAATACCAGATATCTGGGGTTTTATTCTCTGGTATTAGAAAGCGTAGGATATCAACAAAAGATAGGAACTTTTGCAATCATGTTTCTGTCATGTTGAGGAAGCCAGTTCCTTATAAGAGAGGATGACCGTGACATAAAATAATAATAATAATAGGGAAAAAGAGTCCTAGCAGCTTTTGAGTCTATGGTTCCTGATGTTCCAGAGGCCTCTCCACCTTTTGGTTGTTCAATCTATGGATTCTGTGAGCCAAAAATCTGCTTTTCTGCCTTAACCAGGAAGTGCGCTGAGTTTCTGTCCCTTACAACTAAGCGTCCTAATTAAGACGCATCAACATTGCCCTAAGGATTAAAGCCCCACCAGAGAGGGTGTCCTCTCCTGTAAAAACAGCTTCCCTCCACTCCTGAATGTCTACATCCTTCAGCACAAAGGCCACTTCTTAATGACAGCCTCTCTAATCCCAGTAGCAGGAAGTGACCTCTCCCACCTCTGAATCACAGGACACTTCATCTAAGCATCCTCATTTCATGACCCACATTCTCTTCTGTTCTGTAGCTATTTGGGTGGGTGTATTAGCTTTCTGCTACAAACTGTAAGCCCCCTGAAAACAGGAACCACGTCAGTAGTTTCTTCTTCCCCATCTCACCTGTCCACATCACTCACAGTGTAAATTTTCAGTAAGTCTGCTGAATGAATGAGGAAAAATTTTCATTTTGTTAAACAAAGGTTCAGTACCATTTAAAGCTTGAGAGAAATGGATGGAAAGAGATTTAGGACTGTTTCTCTGGAGTCTTTTCAAGTCACATGTATGCAATAGATAAGGAGTTCATAATCATTCAGAAATACAGTCATAATAAAATCGAGAAAACAACATTACAGTTATATAATACTAATTTAATGAAAACATAAAGGCTACGAACCTGAAGTCACAACTCCTGCCATTTTCAACAGTCCCCCACAATAAAAATGCATTGTTTTCTTTCATCTAAAAGCAGAATAGCATGTTTTATATACTGCTTCTCAAACTTTAGTGTGTACTGGACTCACCTGGTGTATCCTATTAAAAGGTGGATTCTGTTTCAGCAGGTCTGGTCAAGATCTGAGATGATGTATGTCTTTCTTCCTCCCTTTCTTTCTTTCTTTCTTTCTTTCTTTCTTTCTTTCTTTCTTTCTATTGAAGTATAGTTGATTTACAATATTGTATTATTTCAGGTGTACAACATAGTGTTTCAATATTTTTACAGATTATACTCCATTTAATGTTATTATGAGATACTGGCTATATTCTCTGTGCTGTACTGAGATGATGCATTTCTGACACCCATGCTGCTAGTCTATGGACCACACTTTGAGTATCAAGGATATACACCCGTGTTTCCCAGACATGGCTACCCACTGAAACCCTCAGGGAGTTTCAAACACTCCTGGTGCCTGTGTCCCACCCTAGATACTGTGACTTAACCCATGTGGTGCGTGGCCTGGGCTTTGGAAATTTTAAAAGATCCTCAAGTGATTTGAATGTGCAGACAAGTTTGGGAACCACTTGCTCTATTCAAAACATAATTAGATTGAGAAGTAGCCGGATCTGAGTCCCACCTCCGCTGCTTTCATGCTAGCTGGGTTATCTTGGGCAAATAAGTTCATTTCTCTGAGCTTCAGTTTTCTCATCTCTAACATAGAAGGGATAAAACCTATTTGAGCTCTCTCTCAGAACAAACTAGAAAAGGCATGGGGAATTTCTGTAACCTTTAAAGTTGTGTATGAATATCAGGAATTTCTCGAGAAGGGGTCTGGATCAGAGCTCTCCAGTATGACAGCCGCTCACCACGTGTGACTACTGAGCGCTTGAAATGTGGCTAGTGCCACATGCTGAAAATATTTTAGATATATTGGATTAAATAAAATATATTATTAAAATTCATTTCACCTGTTTCTTTTGTAACGTGGCTATTAGAAAATTTAGACTTAATGTATGTGGCTCATATTATATTTCTACTGGACAGTGCTGGCCTGGACACTTAAAAGGAATGGTAGGTGACAAAAAATTAACTTTATGTTACTAAATGCTAACATAGGAATTCTAAGTTCCTAAGTGCGAAGCAAATAAGTATTCAAAAGAGTGTCTTGGTATGAATGAGCTATTTCTATGTCTCCCTCAGGCTTCCTGGCTAGAGCCCAGAGCAGGAGAGAATTCTGCCCTAGGTTCAGGATGTGATGTGAGCAGTGCTGCCCCTAGGGCCACATGACCTGGCAAATTCCAAGGTGTGAGAGGATTTCATGGCAGGCAAGTTGACCGTGTGAGGTAGGCGGGTCCAGCGCAGCCCCCTAGGGCTCTGGAACAAGGCCACGCTACCCGTAGCAGAGAACTATTCTCCATTTGAAAAGCAGATCCAGGCATATGACTGGGTCCCAGTTGAGACTGCGTGACTGATGTGAGTCACTGAAGGACCAGTAGGTTCTGAGAGCTGGCAAACCCACCAAGTCATTAGCTGGGGGTGGGCACAATAGCAGGGCACAATGGGAACTGACCATTTAAGGTTAGGCCTGAACAGGTCTGGAGAGCACAAGTGAACTCTGCAAACAGACATCTCCCAAGTCATCCACTTCTGGGGCGCCAAGGCAACAGCTCCCACCCACGGCCTCACAAAGAAGGTTCTCTACAACTAGCTGATGGGGGAAGGAAACACCGATGCCTGGGTCATACATGAACCAGTCAACTCAATTTGTTGGTTCTGGCCCAAAATAGACTGCTGCGCCCACAGAGACACTCACGGGTGGTCCCGAAAACAGCACTAAGGGAAGAGATAGAGTCTCAGTGGACAGAGCTTCCAAAAGGACATCTGGTCATCAGATGGACATGGAGGGAGAAGTAGCCTGACATAATAAAACTGTCATCTGGGGGAAGAGAAAAGCAGATTTACTAAAGAAAAAAAAAAAATGGACTTGCCGTGCGGTGCTGCCTGCCTGTTTTCAGCTTGCAGTTATGACCTTTAAAGCGAACCGGTCATCCAGATTCCGGACTTTCCTCCAGTGACATTCAGGCCATCAGGAACGAGGACTGGGAAAGCCACAAGGTGGATTCAACTAGGGTTGGAGTTTTGCCGCCTAAATGTGATAGAGGGAGAAAGGAACAAAGGACATGAAGATATTTTAAAGAATGGATGGTAATGATGACACACAAAGACATAAGGGAGGTAAAGGGTGTTGACATTTTAATGGGGAAAAGAGGGAGGGGGATTGAGGGATTCAGGTCAAAGAATTTTATTATTTTTTTTTAATTTTTGGCTTGCCATGTGGCATGCAGGATCTTAGTTCCCCGACCAGGGATCAAACCCACGCCCCCCTGCAGTGGAAGCACAGAGTCTTAACCATTGGACCGCCAGGCAAGTCCTAGCTCAAAGAATTAGGAAAGCGGCGTATTAGAGATGATGAAGGGAAGAAGGGGCTGTGCTGGGCTGAAGGTAAGAAGCTTAAGGAATTGAAAGGCCAATACACTGAATAGTTAGATACTGGAGTCACCAAGGATTAAGGCAGGAGTGAGGGTGGAGAGGAAGTTACAGAGACAGGAGCCCAGTTCTTCCATGAATACAGGAGGAGTGACCAGGAAGGCAGTGGGCAAGTCAGATTCTCAGATGGAATGAGACTGAAGGAGCTGGATGTTGGGAAGGAGGGAGGAGGGGAGGTAGGAGAAGTGCCTCGTAAGAGACAACGGGGATCAGAGACGAAATCTTTGTTTTAAATTTTTATTGACGTATAATTGACTTACAATGTTGTGTTAGTTTCAGGTGTACAGCAAAGTGAATCAGTTATATATATATTCACTCTTTTTTTAAATTTATTTTAATTAATTAATTTAAATTTTTGGCTGCATTGGGTCTTCATTGCTGCGCACAGGCTTTCTCTAACTGCGGAGAGCGGGGCTCTTCGTTGTGGTGCACGGGCTTCTCATTGCGGTGGCTTCTCTTGTTGTGGAGCACGGGCTCTAGGCATGCGGGCTTCAGTAGTTGCAGCACGCGGCCTCAGTAGTTGTGACTCACGGGCTCTAGAGCGTAGGCTTAGTAGTTGTGGCGTACGGGCTTAGTCACTCGTGGCATGTCGGATCTTTCCAGAGCAGGGATCGAACCCGTGTCCCCTGCATTGGCAGCCGGATTCTTAACCACGATGCTACCAGGGAAGTCCCCACTCTTTTTTTTTTTTAGATTCTTTTCCCATATAAGCCATTACAGAGAACTGAGTAGAGTCCCTGTGCTATAGAGCAGGTTCTTATTAATTATCTATTTTATATATAGTAGTGTGTATATGTCAATCCCAATCTCCCAATTTATCCCTCCCCGACTTTATCCCCTGGTAACCACAAGTTTGTTTTCTACATCCATGACTCTACTTGTGTTTTGTAAATAAGTTCCTTTGTATCCTTTTTTTTTTTTTAAGTTGAGTGTCTCCCATTTAAAAAAAGAATTTTATTTATTTATTTATTTTTGGCTGCGTTGGGTCTTTGTTGCTGCATGTGGGCTTTCTCTAGTTGTGGTGAGCGGGGGCTACTCTTCATTGCCGTGTGGTGGCTTCTCTTGTTGCGGAGCACGGGCTCTAGGCGCAAGGGCTTCAGTAGCTGTGGCTGGTGGGCTCTAGAGCGCAGGCTCAGTAGTTGTGGCTCACGGGCTTAGTTGCCCCGCGGCATGTGTAATCTTCCTGGACCAGGGCTTGAACCCGTGTCGCCTGCATTGGCAGGTGGATTCTTAACCACTGTACCACCAGGGAAGTCCCTAGATAACGTTTTAAGTCCATACCAGCTCTCAAATTCTAGATCTTTAAAATTCTTTTTTTTTTTTTTTTTTGGCCACACCGCACAGCTTGCGGGATCTCAGTTAAGGGTTGAATCCAGACCACGGCAGTGAAAACCCAGAATCCTAACCAGTAGGGCCACCATGGAACTCCCTAGATCTTTAAAATTCTGCGGACCTCAAAACAATGACAGCTGCAACGAATTCTGCGCAACTTTATAACCAGTGAAAGATGAAGATGTTACACAGGCAGGTGCCTGAGTCTCAGAATGAATGCTCTGCCCTGGATTCTTAGATATATTGGTTTTACAATGTAAGAGCAAAAAAAATTTGTCCTGGTATGTGGAATATCCCAGAACGCTTCTTTCCATACCACTGTGAGCAAATTCAGCTCCGTTTCAACGAACTTTCCCTCATTGACCACTTCCTAAGTGCCAGGCAGTTTGCCAGTGGAATGGACAGTGAGAAAGGGATGGGGGTAAAAGAGAGAAACAGGTAGAGTACAAAGGGAGCGCACAGGTGCAAATGCCTTCCAGGTTGGAAGGATCTAGGAAGGCTTCATGAAGGAGGTGGCAGAGCAAATTGATTCCTCAGATATTTGTTTCTATTTAATGTGTATTTGTGGAGCCATTACTCTGTGCCGTGCACTGTACAATATGAAGGCCCTGGGGATACAAGGCTGAAGAAGACACAAAGCCACAGTCCTTGTCTGCAAGGAGTTCCCAAGCAAGCAGCAGTTATGATAGCATGTGACAGAGGTGGACGGAGAAGGCTGTAGCCTGCGAAGGGACACCCAACCTTCTCAGGGAGAGGCTTGTGCAGGCTTCCAGGAGAAAGGGGCAGGGATAACCTTGTGTTTAAAGGATGTAGAGGAGTGATCCAGGCAGGTAACGAAAGGAAAGGCATTCTTTGCAAAGCCAGTGGCATGTGTGAAAGCCTGGTGGTGGGAGAGAGCACAGCATATCTGGAAGGTGATATGTAATTCGATATTTCCAAAGCAGAAGGCATGCGAGTGGAAGGTGACAAAGTGAAGGGTGGGGCCTCTTTGTAAGGATCTGAGTGATCAATGAACACAGACGGATGCTCTGGTGAAAGGAACCTAATGACAGAGAAGGTTAATGTTGTTAAAATAAAAAGGTAAAAACGACAGGTAAAGATACCGCAGAAACTGACGAGGCAGCAATATCAGAAACTTCATATTTCTCAATCATCCTCCCTCACGTGACTGAACAGCTCATCTTTTTTTTTTTTTTTTTTTCGGTACGCTGGCCTCTCACTGTTGTGGCCTCTCCCGCTGCGGAGCAAGAGTCTCTGGACGCGCAGGCCCAGCGGCCATGGCTCACGCGCCCTGCCGCTCCGCGGCATGTGGGATCTTCCCAGACCGGGGCACGAACCTGTGTCCCCTGCATCGGCAGGCGGACTCCCAACCACTGCGCCACCAGGGAAGCCCTGAACAGCTCATCTTTTGAAAAAAAGGATAGGAAATGGGATTTATCGTGTATTGAACAATTGGATTTTCCACTATCCCCTAAAACGGAATTTACTTCTCTCCCGGAAAACCACAATCCACAGAGGAGGAGAATAAATGAGACATAAATATAAACATACTGCCCTGAAGGGCAGTCAGCAGACAAAAGTCTTCTTGAGGAGCTGTGCCAGTTGATGTCATAGTGAAGTCAGGTACAATGACTCATCCCCATTCTGTCCACTGAAGAAAAAAGGGGGAAATCTAGAGAAGGTCGTGGAAACTGTATCAATTGCAAATTATTCCAGGCAGCGCCACTGCTGCAGGCACCTTTGGCTTATGCTATAGTGAATAAACAAAGGACGTATTCTGGAAGCGGCTGTTTCTTTCCTCATCGTCTGGGCTCCTTCTGGGTGACGGCATCCTTTGACTATAGTCCCATCCAAGCCCAGAATCAAGAGGAGAATAGCATCTCAGAGGCGCTGGCTCAGCTACCCTCTGCGTTATCCTGATTGTGCAAATTCACCAGCCTGTGTTTCTAATCCAGTTCAAGTGTCTTGAGTCCTGTCCCCATTCCCACCCCTCGCCGGTCCTACAGCTTTACAGGGGCCTCCTGATGCCCCACCACGGCCTCTGCAGGCTCTGGAGGCCTTCTCAGCGGCCGCCTGGCAGAGCCCTGCAGGGTGGGCGTTGCTGCTCCTCGGGAGGCCTCAGTGGTCTCTGCCTCCTGTGAGCTCGGCCTAAACAGTCTTCCTTTGGCTCTTTCAAGGCCCCTCACCCTCCTTATCCCTCCCCTCTGAACTCATGCTAGGTTTTCAATGGCTAAAAAAGGCCACGTGGGACTTTCCTGGTGGTCCAGCGGTTAAGATGCCACTCTTGCAATGCAGGGGGCGTGGGTTCCATCCCTGGTTGGGGAACTAAGGTGTCACATGCTGTGTAACCAAAAATATAAATACATTTTTAAAAAGGCAAAAAGAGGGCTTCCCTGGTGGCGCAGTGGTTGAGAATCTGCCTGCGAATGCAGGGGACACGGGTTCGAGCCCTGGTCTGGGAGGATCCCACATGCCACGGAGCGACTAGGCCCATGAGCCCCAACTACTGAGCCTGCGCGTCTGGAGCCCGTGCTCCGCAACAAGAGAGGCCGCGATAGTGAGAGGCCCGCGCACCGCGATGAAGAGTGGCCCCCACTTGCCACAACTAGAGAAAGCCCTCGCACAGAAACGAAGACCCAACACAGCAAAAATAAATAAATTAATTAAAAAAGCAACGTGATTTTAGTTTGCATTAGCAGAAGCACAGAACGCAAAAGGAGAGCTGTGGGCAGCCACACTCACCTGCTCCTAGGGTCGTTGTGAGGGTTACGTGTAGAGCACTTCGCTACATCTTATAGAACCGTCTTCTTCTCGTTATCGTTCCATCCTTAGAGACTGTTCCTTTGCTACACACGGCGTAGGACCAAACCCTAAGGCATCTGCGCTTGTCTGCGGGGAGACAGAATATCGGGCACCTACACAGTCAGGCACGGTCTCTGCCCGCAGGAGTCCCTGTCTATCGAGGGAGAGGGAGAAGGACCTGAGGCGGGTTCAAGGTAAAGGCAGCGGTGTGCACACGGGGGAGGGAGACAGCCCTCCCTCCCGGCCGAACCCCCTAATGGTGCTTTTCTCCCGGGGCTTGCATCCTAGAGGGAAGCTGGAGGCTGCCCGCCAGCCCCGCCAGCCCCGCCAGCCCCGGAACAGACACTGTGCAGGGACTGAGGGACTGTGTTTGCAGGATCGTCCCTCTGAACCGACAATGAGGTTCAGCTCCAGTCACGGTGGGATGAGAGGGCCGTCCAGCACCGGGTCTGGAGGCTCCAGGATGAGGTCCAGGAGGCCTCAACTCCCAGAGTATATGTACCACACAGATGCGGCGCAGGCTGCTCTCTCTGCCAAACACCGTCTAAAAACACAATGCCAGTCCCTGCCTGCCTGATCTCGGCTTGCTGGGGTCTGCAGCACCTCGGTCGATAGGCTTGAGGAAGAGGTAAGATGACAGGGTACCTGTATGTGGCCTCAGCCTCTCACTCAACATTTCTGGCACTTGTGTGATCACCAGCGATGGTGTCCCTAAGCATCAGGGTGACAGTGGCTCTCAAAACTCTGTCTCCCCCCCTACAGAAGCCACAGACATTGTGAGGTTGATGTCAGTGTACAGAGAGCCAGCATGTGAGAAAATATGAAAAATGTGAAAAGCTGATCTCAAGTGTCCACGGGCCAACCTCTTGGCGGCATCCAGCTCCTTCCCAGCAAAGACGCTGTTCATAGACGGAGATGACTTCAGGTTCTGTGGCCAGCTGGCTCGGTCCCTCACTACCTGTGTCACTTGGGCAAATTTCTGCAGCACTCGGAGTCCCTGTTTCTCTATGTGTAATGCAGAGGGTGTTGGGAGGATAAACTGTCTACTGAAAAAAAATGCACAGCCTAAAAGTTGAGAGTTATGTTTTATTTGGTGGACTTTCTGAGGACTTCAAGCCCAAGAGACAGGACTCTCAGGTAGTGCTGAGCGACTGCTCCAAAGAGGCATGGGAGGAGCCAGGAGTTTTTTCAACAAAGCCCAGGTAGTCGGAACATCAAAAGATCACTGTGAATTGAAGTGAACCAGGTATCTCAAGCTAAAGAATTTAGCGCTCTTCTCTGTATGGGAAGATGCAGGAGTCTGGGCTCACTGAAATCATCCCTTTGATGTGCGCCTCTGCTATCTGGGGCCAGTGCTTTCTCTTCCTGAGTCCCCTCAGGGTGCGCCATTGGGGCCGCTGTAATGTGATGGCTTGATGGCTGCAACATTCTTTGTTTACTGATACGGCGGCAACATTTTTCATTCACAGAAGTGAGATAATTTAACGTTCTTATGGTACGCAAGCCACGGGTTTACCTGGGCTGGAGGAATTCCCAGGACATGGGACCTTCGGCACTAAACCCACAACAGGTCCAGGTACACTGGGACAGCTGGTCACCTTAGCAGCACCTGTCATATAGCAGATGGTCAATAATGGCATCTGTAGGTGCTTACTACTATTATTTCTGCTGCCACGAACAGTAGTTAATACTTGGAGGCTTAATCCTGGCCAAGCCCTGTTCTACGTGTTTTGCATGTATTAGCTCATAGAACCTTCAGGACCAGCCTGCAAGACAGGTAATGGTCATCTCAGTTTTGCAGAGGAAGAAATGGAGGAGCCAGGATTGGAACTCAAGCAGTCTGATTCCACACGATACAACCTGAATCAATAGGCTATGCCCTCTCTTCTCCAATTTATTAAGCACTTTGTCCCAGGCACTGTTCCGAGTGCTTAAACTGTGTTAATTAATTTATTTTTATTTTTATTGTTTTAAGATTTTTTTTTTGATGTGGACCATTTTTTTTTTAAGTCTTAATTGAATTTGTTACAATATTGCTTCTGTTTTATATTTTGGTTTTTTTTGGCCATGAGGCATGTAGGATCTTAGTTCCCTGACCAGGGATCAAACCCACAACCCCTGCATTGGAAGGTAAAGTGTTAACCACTGGACCACCAGGGAAGCCCCTATTTCATTTATTTTTACAGTGACCCTATTACTTCTCTTATGGACCAAAAAGAAAGGAAGGCTTATTTGGGAGAGTGGAAAGGAAAGCATCAAATACTAATTGTGCAAGTGCTGAACCTAGTATATAAAGATATGGCGATCATCTGGTTCTGGTTTTAGAGCCAAAAGTTGCATCCCAGGAGCCTCCTCAATCCTGGGTAAACCAGGGCAGTTGGTCACCCAATGCAAAGAGCTAATACACACAGCAGGTCCAGGCAAGCAAAAAACCCAAAGATCATTCGAATTAAGAGGAGATACAATTTTCAAATTTAGTTTCTCAAGGCCTAGTTCCTACGGCCGCAGTATAGGATCTCTTTCTTTCTATTAGACTGCTACTCCATTGAAAGGTTGCAGCTACCTAGAGACTTCCTTTTAATACAAACTCTATATGTTTATTTTTAAGTTGTTGCTTTGAGGGAACTGAAGAACTTAATACAGTCCCTGGCTGGGTATCGCTCTGAGGTCTCCAATATTATTTCTCTGGGAAACCTTATGCATGGTACAGGAGTTTAAGAGTAGCATTGTCTTCTTGCCTTAATTCCTAGAAATTCTGTACTGGGAATCTCAGGAAATAAACTATGATAGGAGTTAAAAAAAAAAAACCTAATACATATTTAACCTTCCTCGTTATCAAGGAAATGAGAAAAATATAACGATGAAGTTCAGTGTTTAACAAGTCAGTAAACCTTTTGAATAAATCACATTAATAATCACGCAGATTTCAGGAAACTGTACACTCATCTATTGTTGGTGGCATTGGTGAAAGCAGCCAGTGAAATTCAGGGCAGCTATTAAACCGATGAAGTTTGTGTAGCAACGTGGAAATGTACTGGTATGTGAGGCTAAGTGAGAACAGCTGAGTTCAGAATTAGGACTTGCAGTGTTTACTGCAACAAAACATTTTTGCATAAATGTCACCAGGGCCTGGAAAAAGACTTGGAAAAATAAAAACGTCTGATGTGTTAAGCGGAAAAGTTGTGGTGTTTTGTTTGTTGTCCTTCTTTTTCCCTGACTTCTACTGTTGCTGTTTCATTTGTTTATACAATAAATGCAAAGGAAGGCCCCACAGTGACCCACTTTTCCGTCTTTAGTGGGCCTGCTGCTCAGGACCGGCTCTGTCCCCTCTTCACTGGCCAGGTGTCTCCAGACTGAGCAAATCTCCTTCCTCCAAGCCCCCTCCGTTGTTGGTTCCTCCCCTCTTGTGGCCCTCATCTGGCTCCACCGCGACTGGGTGTATAGTCTGGGGCCTTGAGGGAGAGAACCAAGACCCACCCCCTTTGTGCTCGCTCCATGCATCTGACAGCCAATTGCCACTAAAGTAATATTTGTTGAATCCAACATTTTGATTTCCTGTTTCTAGTTTCTCTGTCTGCGAGAGGCAAACAGGACAATGGAAGCCTGGGTGAGGTTAAAAAGGCCTGAAATATTTCAAAGCTATGGAAGAGAGAAGCAAGGGGAGGGTGGGATGAATTAGGAGATTAGGTTTGACATATAAACTACCATGTGTAAAACAGATGGCTAGTGGGAACCTATGGTATAGCACAGGGACCTCAGCTTGGTGCTCTGCAGTGACCTAGGTGGATGGGATTGTAGGTGGGGAGGTGGGAGATCCAAGAGGGAGGGGATAGATGTATACATATAGCTGATTCACTTCATTGAACAGCAGAAACTAACACAACATTGTAAAGCAATTACACTCTTAAAAACAAAAAAAAGGATGGGTGGAGGGTGGGTGGTGACACAGCCTCAAAACCTCCAATTAGACTTTTTATTATAACACAATTCATTAGAGCATAATTAAATTCCTTACTAAATGATTAACCATAAGGTTAGGGAAAAAAAAGAAAAAAAATTTAAGTAATTTGGAATTCCTCATAAGGGATATAGGAGAGAGGGGGGCAAAATACCAGTGTACCCCGAAGATCCACAGACCCCCCAGCAGCGGGTGTTGGGACATTAAGGAAGACGGAAACACCAGAGCTGGACGTTACATCAGCCAGCAGCTAGTTCCACCATCCATTGTATAGACAGAGAAGCTGAGGCCAGGAAGTGGAGGGAAGTACCCCCAGCAAGTTAGCCGCGGTACTTCCTGCATCCCTTCCGCCCTCCACGGGCCATCTTCACCTACGGCAGCAGCTGTATCTCCGGCATGCCAAGGCACCAGAAATTTCTGTCATGCATGAGTCAGTCATTCTCTTTGGGAGTGGCGTTTCGTCTGAAGAAGCTGTGCTAAATATTAGTTCAGTTTCCAGAAAGTGGTAACTTGTGAACTCACTGTGGGCCAGGCTGGCTCACTTTGCCTAAAGCCTAGCCTCATTAAAAAACTAAAAATAGAGGCTTCCCTGGTGGCGCAGTGGTTGAGAGTCCGCCTGCCGATGCAGGGGACGCGGGTTCGTGCCCCGGTCCGGGAAGATCCCACATGCCGCGGAGCGGCTGGGCCCGTGAGCCATGGCCGCTGAGCCTGCGCGTCCGGAGCCTGTGCTCCGCAACCGGAGAGGCCACAGCAGTGAGAGGCCCACGTACCGCAAAAAAAAAAAAAAAAAACCTAAAAATAGAGCTACCATATGATCCAGCAATCCCACTCCTAGGCATATATCCAGAGAAAACTATAATTCAAAAAGATACACGCACCCCAATGCTCCTTGCAGCACTATTCACAATAGCCAAGACATGGAAGCAACCTAAATGTCCATCAACAGAGGAATGGATAAAGAAGATGTGGTACATATATACAATGGAATATTACTCAGCCATGAAAAAGAATGAAATAATGCCATTTGCAGTAACATGGATGGACCTAGAGGTGATCATACTAGGTCATCTCTGTGTGAAGTTAAGTCAGACAGAGAAAGACAATTATCATATATCACTTATATGTGGAATCTGAAAAAAATGATACAAATGAACTTATTTACAAAACAGAATAGACTCACAGACATAGAGAACAAACTTATGGTTACCAAGGGGAAAGTGGGTAGAGAGGGGATAAATTAGGAGTTTAGGATTAGAATATACATACTACTATATATAAAATAGATAACCAGCAAGGACCTACTGTATAGCACAGGGAACTATACTCAATATCTTGTAATAACATATAGTGGAAAGGAATCTAAAAAATTTTATATATATATATATATATATATATATAATCACTTTACTGTATACCTGAAACTAACACACCATTTAAAATCAACTAGACCCTGGTGGAGACGTGGAGAAAAAAAGATAGATTTTTATGGAAAAGGAGGGGCTAGGGAGAGAAGCCCAGGGAGGTTGGACATGGATGGTGGAGGGGAGGGATGAGGGCATGAGGTCAGCCCATGGTGGTGGGTATAAGAAAACAGAGTGGTGTTGGGTGGTAGGGGGGCTTCTTCCCCTGTGCCTCTTCCTTGTATTAAACTACAATCTTGGGCAAGTCTTCCTGAGAGTTGGCTTCTACCTTCATCAAATAGGGTAACAACACCCACCCTCACTACCAGTTTTTGTGAGGATCAAATGTAACAAGGTCATAGCACTTTATAACCAGTCTGTGCCTGCTGGGCCAATGGGGAGGCTGGGCCAGAGAAGACGGGTGTCCAGCTCGATGTCACAGGGCGCCTCAGGGGCCAAACTGTGGCCACAGCAGTGTCCGCACTCCAGTCCAAGTATCTGATGATGGGAAGTTCTCAGATAACTGTCCAAAAGGCTCATGGTCCCCATTGGACCAAGGTCATCATCCCAAATAGCCCAGTCAGTAAGGTTTGCTGATGGACTGGATGTACATCTGTGCTCTGAACAAGAGTGCTCAGAAGTCCTGATCTCGAGAGCCCTCCTTTTGCTCCCAGGTCCCAAACTTCCACCCTCCCACTTTACTGTAGACTGAGCAGCGTTTCCCGCTATTGAGGTGTGAGGGCCCAGTTCCTTCTGACCCAGCACACAGACTCCCAGGACACAGTGTGGGAAAGGGAGCCCCAAGAGGGGGACGTAAGGCCGAAGTGAAAGAGGGGCTGGAGGTTGGTGCAAAAACAATGAGGCAAAGCACCTCGTGGACCATAAAAATGACTGTCACTTACTACACGAGGCTCTCTTCTTCTGTGTGTCTTACGTTTAATCCTCACAAGAACTCTATGCGTCCCCGTTTTACAGATGAGGAAACTGAGGCACAGGGTAGTTAAGTAACTTATCAAAATGCTCACAGCTAGCATTCCGCTGAGCCAGGATTTGAACCTGGGCAGGCTGATACCAAGAGGCCCTGTGCTTTACTACTGCCCCAGGCAGCAATCTGGTGATACTAGGGAAAATTCCAGTGAAATCTTTATCACCCACATAGTGTCATCTGGCAAAAATAAAGATGGAGGAGGTGGCAAGAGTTTGGCTTCACTCCCAGCTTGGCTATTAATGTTCTGCTCAACCCCAGCAAGGTATATGGGGCCTCTCTGGGTCTCGGCATCCTGGCCATAAAATGGGATGGGGGCAGGGTGGAGTAAGTTGCGGTGGGTGAAGTTTGAGAAAGCCTTTACATCCACTGTGAAAAATCCCCCCATTAAATCAACAGTTTTCCCAACGACATCATGTGGTTGTTTGCTTAGGTCAGTAGAGACAAAATCATGAGGAAGTTGGAGGCTTCCAAGTCATTTCACAAAATATTTTCAAAGATGAAGAGAACTTGTTAAAAACAATGGAGGTATTTTCTCTTATTTCCAAAGGAAATGATTCAACCTAACCAAAGGTCACTAATGAAAGAGATGAATCCCGTCACGTTATAAACATTAGAGATTCGGCATCTGTTCCCGGCTAGCTGGAGACACAGCCTGGTCTTCTGCTGTGTGTTGTTCCTTCCAGAGGATTCTGCTGCTCAAAAAGACCTTTTTTTAAAAAAAAAAAACGAACAGATTTTCCAACCTGGTGGCATTAGAATCACCTGGAAAACTTAAAAACAAAACAAAACAAAACCAAAAACACAAACAATGACTGGACCTCACTCCCAGTGACTGAATGGGAATCACCCTCTGAGGTCTGGGCATCAGTATTGTTTTCAAATTAAAGTCTCCCCCACAAGTTCTACTGAACAATCACGGTTTAGGACCATTGTTTTAAAATAGCAGTTCTCGGGCTTCCCTGGTGGTGCAGTGGTTGAGAGTCCGCCTGCCGATGCAGGGGACACGGGTTCGTGCCCCGGTCCGGGAAGATCCCACATGCCGCAGGAGCGGCTGGGCCCGTGAGCCATGGCCGCTGAGCTTGCGCATCCGGAGCCTGTGCTCCACAACGGGAGGGGCCACAGCAGTGAGAGGCCCGCGTACCGCAAAAAAAAAAAAAAAAAAAAAAGCGGTTCTCCCATTTTATCACTGCAAGAATCATCTGGAGGGCATGTTAAAGACAGATCGCTCTGAGTCACTAATTCCTAAGACTGGGTTAAGCCTCCGTAGTTGACATTTCTAACAAGGGGACCAGTAGTCGCTGGTCCCCTCCCTACTTTGAAAATCACTGTAGTAGAGCTGTGTCTGCTGTTCAAAAGGTCTCTCACATCCGGCGGAGCAGGGCAGCTCAGCCCTGGCTGTGCACTGGAATCCCTCCGGAAGTTCTGAAACATCCCGATGCACTAGAGGCACCTCAGACCAACGAAATCGTAATCTCTGGGGGTAGGACAAGCATTTCTCAAAGCTCAACTGATTCCAGTGTGCAGCCAGGTTGAGACCCACTGCAGGTGTCACACACGCTCACACACACAGCTGTGAGGAAGGCTGGAAACGCTTATTCCTACTTCATTGCCGAGAAAAGTGGGGATCGGAAAGGCTGAGGTCAGTCAGAGCACCGAGGGCCTAATGTTTGAATCCAGACCTCTGGCTCCTCTTCCTGTGCTCTTTCCTTCCACACTACACACAGCCTGTCTCAAACCCACCCACCTGGAGCAGGCTGAGACCCGGAATAGGTGTGGGGATCATGTGGGGCTGAGGCTCTGCCCACGGCAAACAAGGAAGGCGGCAGAATGAACTGATAGGCACCACTAGACTTGAAACAGATAAGCAACAAGAATTTACTGCACAGCACAGGGAACAATATTCAATATCTTGTAATAACCTATAATGGAAAAGCATGTTAAAAAGATATATATACAGATATATATAACTGAATCACTTTGCTGTACACCTGAAACTAACACAATACTGTAAATCAACTATACTTCGATAAAAATTTTTAAAAATTGAAAAGAGAAGGGGAGCAGAAAGTGCCTCTTCGGCATCAAGATTATTTGGAGCTGATTATTTTTAAGAAATGGCAGACTGGAGAATCTCTGAAAACAGGACAGAAGTTGCCTTTTTGTGAGGGAAACTTACATTTGTAAGAGAAGTCTGCGTTTGTAAGGATGTCTTCCTGGAGGAAGGGAAAGAAGGCTCCAAATCTCCAGAAACCGTGTATCAGTGGAGAAGGCACCGGCTTAAATCTGCATAACAAACCTTACCCTTGTTTACTGGGCTTTTCAGGGTCGCCTCCCCTACCGGGCCCCGCCCAACATCTTTCTTTTGCCTTTAGCTGAAGGTGGTGTTTCAGGTGGTAGCTTGGGACATCTTAGGGAGTTTCACTCAGTTTTCCGGGGTATCACCCATGTATACATGAGGCGTACATACATATTATTAAACTTCTGTTGGGTTTTCCCTTGTTTTTCTTTTGAATTAATTTTTATTGGAGTGTAACTGCTTTACAATGTTGTGTTAGTTTCTGCTGTACAGAAAAGTGACTCAGTATATATACATATATCCCCTCTGTTTTGGATTTCCTTCCCATTTAGGTCACCACAGAGCACTGAGGGTATTTCCCTTGTTAATCTGTCTGTTACACATGGGGTCTCAGCTACAGAACCTAGAAGGGTAGAGGGAAATGACTATTCCTCCCCTACAGCCTTCCATGGGAACAGCGACAGGCAGCAGGTGGTAATCCCCGCCAGACCCTGAGTGATGGGAGGTCATCCTGACGGATGGACCAAGCTGGGTGAGGCTGGATGGAGCAGGAGGCAGGCAGCTCCTCAGTCTTCAGGAGGCTCCCACCCCACTGTTGGGCCTACCTTTTGAGTTCCCTGAGGTTGCTCAATGCCATTCTGAGGTTTGAAAACATTTGGAATCGCTCCCTGCAAAAAATAATTACAGAGTCAACTAGACAGCTCAGTCCCCTCTTCTATGCTGTGATCCACTTGACCCCTTACTTACTCCTTTTAAAAAAGCATGGTGGTGGGGGCTTCCCTGGCCGCCCAATGGTTAAGACTGCGCTCCCGCTGCAGGGGGTTCGGGTTCCACCCCTGGTCGGGGAGCTAAGATCCTGCATGAGGTGTGGCCAAAATAATAAATAAATAATAAAAAACATGGTGGAATAAACGGAGATAGACCCTTTGCTCTTCTGATGGGGGCGGAGGAGGATGGTTTACTCAGGTGAGGTCAGGCTGGCTACCGAGACATTCCAGACACTTCGACCCCAGCAAAATGCTCCAGGCTTCTTTGTCACAAGCCTGACACGGGGACTGTCTATTTTCTTGAAGACCAAATGCTCACCAAAAAAAAAAAAAATCAATTGGGATCCAATTGACTTAATCAAAAATTGATTAAAAAATCAATCAATTTAATCAGAACTAACCAAATTTTGATTAAATTAATTAAATCGAACCAATTTAATAAAAAAATTTAAATAAAGGTGTAGAGGAGAGTGCGTAGGTTGAGACTGGGTGTGCTTACAGCAGTGTTTTGCAACCCTGACAGTACATTGTAATCTCCTGAGGTGCTACCGAGGCCTGAGTTCCGCCCAGTAAATTATTATGATGATTTAATTGGTTTGGGGTATGACCTGGGCAAGAGGACTTTTTAAAACTTCCCTTTAAAAAATATCTCTTACGTATATACACATACATGCATGTATTTAATACAATGGGATCATACTAAATGTATATGCTATATTTTAAAAATAAATGTATTTATTTATTTTTAACTGCGTTGGGTCCTCGTTGCTGCACGCAGGCTTTCTCTAGTTGCGGAGAGCAGGGGCCACTCTTCGTCGCAGTGCACAGGTTTCTCACTGCGGTGGCTTCTCTTGTTGCGGAGCACGGGCTCTAGGTGTGCGGGCTTCAGTAGTTGTGGCACACGGGCTTAGTAGTTGTGGCTCACGGGCTCCAGAGCGCAGGCTCACTAGTTGTGGTGCACGGGCTTAGCTGCTCTGTGGCAGGTGGGATCTTCCCGGACCAGGGCTCGAACCTGTGTCCCCTGCATTGGCAGGTGGATTCTCAACCACTGTGTCACCAGGGAAGTCCTACTATTTGTTTTTAAATTTGCTTCCTTCGGGGACTTCCCTGGCAGTCTGGTGGTTAAGACTCTGCACTTCAGTGCAAGAGGCATGGGTTTGATTCCTGGTCGGGGAGCTAAGATCTCACATGTTATGTGGTGCCGCCAAAAAAAAATTTTGCTTTTTTCTATTTTACTAAGTAATATTATTCTACAAACATTTTTATATGTCACTAGGTTCTTGTTTACAGGATTATTTTAACTTAGACATTTTAAATGTACTCTTACACTTAGCTTAAATAGTACATTTTGTACGCTCTAAATGTATTATTTAGACCTTTAAATGTCTAAACAGTGTTTCATATTGTGGATTTACAATAATTAACATCATTCTATTAGGTATTTAGTTTAACCTTTTCACTATCATCAATAATATTAGTAAACAATCCATTACATAATGTATTTTGTGTCTAACAATAATCATTTCCTGAGGGTCAAGGGTTATCATCTACATTAAACTGTCAACACGAGAATCTGCCTGCTAATGCAGGGGACACGGGTTCGAGCCCTGGTCTGGGAGGATCCCACATGCCACGGAGCAACTGGGCCCGTGAGCCACAACTACTGAGCCTGCGTGTCTGGAGCTTGTGCTCCGCAACAAGAGAGGCCGCGATAGAGAGAGGCCCGTGCACTGCGATGAAGAGTGGCCCCCGCTCGCCGCAACTGGAGAAAGCCCTCACACAGAAAAGAAGACCGAACACAGCCAAAAATAAATAAATAAATATTGATTCTTTGTTCCTTTTTTTTTAAAAAAATTATTGGCGTAGTTGAACATTTGTGTATGTGTTGCATTATGTTTTGTTTTAACAACATGTAGCTGTTCCTCTGAATTGTCTCTTTGAGTGCTTCGTCCTCCGTATCCAAGGAGGAGGTTGGCTTTCAGGACTTGCCCTTGCCCCTCACGGTGACATTCACCCTGGTCTTTCAGAACCTGAGGAACACATTTTGGATGACATTCCAGACCTTCTTAAAACAGTACCTTTATATTCACTCCAGACCTGGCATTCCACAGGCAGCCGGTCTCGCGAGTACCCAAAGTTGCTGGAAGCTGGAGCGAGGATTCAGCCACGAACAGGAAAAACAGAGAGGAAGTCCCTCTTCCCCTCCCCTCTCTCTCTCTAATGCTTCTTTTTGGCAAAATCTAAAAGGCTGCCTTGGCAAGGGGATCTGGGAAATGGAGTTTGCAGAGTCCGTGCCCCAGCTTTGCTAAGCAGCGAATAAGAGGGTGGATCAATAAGGAGCCTACGGAAGGGTAAGACCCAAGGGGCACAGTGCCCTTGGGACATGACTCACCTGGATTTTATTACCCATCTCTCTTATCTATCTCTCCATGCTCATGGCCCTCTGGCAGTTCCCTTCATGAGAATGGTTCATTCCTAATGCCGACAGGCGCCTCCATGTATGGCCAGCTTCGTGGTCTCTGAGATGTTCTTCCTTCCATGGGCTGATCACCAAGTGCCCTCTGATAGGCTATTTGCCTCTTGGGTTTGGAAGAAAACACCTAGGCCCACTAAGTCGATGTTAACTCCAGATGGCAAGATGACACATCTCAAACAGAAAATGAAATATTTCCCTTGCTATCTCTACAGAACACAACGAGACTGTCAACTTGACCTTTAGAGAATTCTCATATGACTTATTGACTTTCTGCCATCAGAACGTCATGTTGCACACAATTATGGCTTTCCTCTTCCTGCTGAGTCTCTGCATCACGGTCACTCTGGCCACAGAACGCTGTAGCCAAGAACAGTAGAAATGTGCCGATCAGCTTTGGGCCCTCTGGGTGGGAGTCACCCATCGGTTCTCTTCTAGGACATGCCCTGTATTTGCTCACACAGAAAGGAACCAGTGTTCATAAACCCAGTGGCTTTCCAATGCCACCTGCTTTTCAAGGGTGTTAATCCCATCTTTCCCTCGTTCTGCTCCACTGATCCCCCCTCTGTGTTCCAGCAGCCTGCCCTGCAGATCCAGAAGCCAGAGATGTGGATAAGAAAGTGTGTGTTCCTCGGCGTACCACAGATGGCTTCATACTCAGCTCCCAGGGAGAGTTCACCTGATGAGTGGTCGTGGGAACCTGGCTCTGGCATTTGCAAAGTCTCTGTTAGGCTATAGCTTTCCACCAGCTGAACTGGAGAAGCTCCAGTCTCACCATATCCGTGAGGAAAATGAAAGAAAGGGTAATGTGGAAATTAACTAGGCTTGAGTACACTAGGGGGCCTCATCTCATCACTGAGGTCCACTCCCCAGAACACACGTTCTTCCCCAAAACTCCCAAGCACTTGCAGGAGACAGTACTTTCGACAGACAGGGCTCCTTCTGGCCCCTTGGCTTTTCTCTGATGCCTCCACCAGAAGCAGCCTGATAGCCTTTGCTGGGCCAATGTGTTGTAGAAAGCTGCACGCGACAAATTCTATTTAAAATTCGATGCCAGAGAAAGTCCCGTTCCCTCAAGGAGAAGGTGTGCTTCTGCCTCTTTAATAAAAAGAAGGATGTGAAAGCAGTCTTTGCTCTCCGCAGGGTACAATGAACCTGGAGTAGTGACAAAATTGGAGGAATTCCAGCACCAGCTTCGTGGTCCATTCACACGGGCTTGTGAACAGAGCCCACCTCAGGGTCCTCACCCCCTCCTCCGTTGCTGTTGGTTCCAGTCTCTGTGCAGGGACGAATGATTACAGGGAATACCAGAAGCCCACACAGAACCTCGGGATCAATAGGGTGTAAAAGAGGGAAGGAGGGAAGCTTCCATCATAGGTCTCACTGTCGGTTAGATTGGCGAACAGCAAACGAACGCATGTGTGAATGTATGAGTGAGTAAAAGAATGGACAAACAGGACTTCCCTGGCGGTCGAGTGTTTAAATGCAGGGGGTGCGGATTCGATCCCTGGTCGGGGAAGTAAGATCCCGCATGCCACGAGGCCAAAAACAAAACAAAAAAAACTTAGCGAGGTCGCTATAAAAGAAATGTACAAAAATGCTTTTCCCCTAAGCTATCACTAACTAGTTAAACAGAAAAACAGAATACAAAACCAGTTCAAATCTCCACAGAAAAAATCACACAAAACAGTACTCAAACTACAAATACATGTAACACAAAAAGTATAGGACCAGTATAAAGAAAACGGCAAATTATCG